TAAGGAAAAAGAAGCAAAGAGAAGTGTCGCCATTATCAAAACATGGGTAAAACCAAAACTAAATGCCGGAATTACCTGGAATGGTTGCAAAATATGTACTGTGGTAAGTACAGGCGCAGAAATGAGTGCTGTGGACGTCGAGATAAAGATTGTGTGAGCTACTGGATAGGCTCTGTTGTTGTTCCAATAATTGTACTCTTAGTTGTGGTGTGTTTTGTATTATTTGCATTGGCAGCAAAAGGCCAATTGCCTAAGGTCATCAAAAAAATATTTCCATTCATTTAGCTCTACATGCATTTCTTTTGATTGTATGTGTATCATGTTCAAAAGTAATTATCATCAGATAAAGAGTTGATGGAGTAATGCAAAGGCAAGACCTTAAATTTTTATACCCACTATATGTGCTTTCATATGCAGAATTAAAGCACACATCACACAGCATTATATACTGTGGGGAATAAAATAACCAAAGTTAGCTTACTGTCTAGCAAACATTACAAGCAACATGCTGCCTGTATGGGATAAAGAACCTTTCTATTTCTTGTATAACTACAGCAAACATATGAAGGGATTGAGAGAAATTAAGTCAGTAGTGATCACACAAAAGTACATGTACCTGCAAGTACACAAAATACACATGTAACTACATGCACAGTATATGTGTACAAGTATTGGACAAATTGATTTTCAGTGTCATATAAGAGCAAGAGAAATGTACTGCACATATTATTGCAATTAATCTAATCATGCTAATATTAATTAATTAATATTACAATAGCTTACAATTTCCACTAAGAGAAGAGAAGACGTCCAAAAGTTAATGACTTGATTGAGCTGAACAACCAAACCGTACCTTTGCGAGAGGGAGGGGGAGAGAGAGAAAGGCAGAGAGAGGGGGGAGAGAAGAAGAAAAAAAAACAATTACTCAAAAACCTACCTTAATGTAAATAAAAATATCTACGGGTAATTAATGATAATAATATGATGATATATTAATCAAGCAATTGTACACATACAAGACTCATTAGCCACAACAAATAACAATATGATAATTATCAATGTAAAACTCAATATATACAGTGATCAGTGACACTAGTTGTATATCAATGGACAGTATCTCTTTAGACTCACTAGTCATTCATCATCTTAAGAACAGAGACTGGTGAAGTGAATGACCATCCAATCCATGGAACTTTTGCTTTTTCCACATTCTTTGATTCTTCTCAGTTATTATGAATTTTTTGACATTTAATAATACTGTCATTTTGCATTAGCTAAATTCAGTTACTACTCTTGGTTACTATAAAGACAGAAGTTCAATACTTTGATAAATTACAGTCTCTGTCCACCATTCACGATTTTCCAGGAAAAAAAAAGACATCAGCGATTGGGGACTTTCCCTAGTGATTATTTTTATTATACACGTGTCAGCACGTGACAAAGTAGGTGTGACTAAACTGACTATAAGTAGGCAGGTCTACAGTTCAATGAATTAATATTTTTAAAAATTCAGTTGTTTGGAATAATATCAAAATTAGACCAGAATGGATCAAATTAGTACAATAATAATTATTATTTACAGCAACTAATAATGAATAATACGATTTCAAATTATTTGATTTGAAGAGCTTTAAAATGATTCTGTAGAAAAAGAAAAAGGAGAGAAAGAGAAGAGAAATAAATAATAATAATAATAATAAAAGCATAAATCACACATAATAAACTTCATGGTACACTCAATTTATGAACTGTATAGTGTATATGTACATGTACAACATGTGACGATTAAGATCAAATTTATTACCATTACGTTAACATCACCAACTCATTTAATAACAGACTATAACACACAAA